TCTATTGCCATCTTACACCCCCCCCTTTTTTTTTTTTTTTTCCCATGTTTTTTTTCCTCTCACCTATTCTAGTTTTGGTGGATTGTAAAAGCTGCTACTGATAGAAAACTGTTAAAATAGCATTGCCATCTTTCTCTTCCTCATACTGCTATTTAGCACTTGCTCTGAAGGTCTCTGGTGAGGTTTTTCTTCTGGATGAGTTTGTGGCAGACTTATTTCAGGCTTGACTATGATGCCTTTTTTTTTTTTTTTTTTGCATTGCATGACTGAAATGTAAACAAGATTTTTCTTCTTGCTTAGAATCTTGCTTCTCCTTTGTTTTGATTTTGCATGCCCAAAAGGTCTTACAGGAAAGAGAATCTCCAAAATGGAAAGCCTTATACGTTGCCTCGACTTTAGCAGTGATGTTTGGTTTGCCTTAGTAGGGCATCTGCAGGAGGTGATACTTTCAGATGGTCATAGTGATGAGAATAACTTATTTTTAATAATAAAGTATCTGTACCTGGTTTTGTACACGCTGTGGGTGGAATTTTGCTGGTTGAGTGTCCCCATTTTTTCCTAGTTATGAAAATTAGGGCCGTACCTTTATAAACTGTGTAATCCTGAACACAAGAGATAAAAAGGATGCTAAACTCAAAATAATGGTGTGAGACTGCTTTTTTAAAGAAGAATGAAGACAGCTTCAGGTTCTGTACTTGACCATGCATACCTCCCCATTTGTAGCTTAAAGATAGCATTATCTAAAAATAATACATTCTTTCCTCTTTGTTTTGGGGAAAGAATCACCAGAATAATTAAAAAAAAATTAGACTGAGAATGATTATTCACGGCTGTGGTCAAATCCAGAATGCAAATAAGTTGTAGAAAAATTTAAGGAAGTATGTTTTGAGATTTTTATCTCTTCAATTATAGTTGCAACTGCTATAGGGTAAACATTTTAAGGTTAATTTAAATTAACTATTTTAAAACTTTCTAGCACTTCAGTGTACCGTATGATTACAATTCATGTGAGTTTTTACTTAGAATTCCCAAATCCCAGGTTTGTTTTTAAAAGCTGTCTACCTAATGGCCTAGTGCTAGTAATGCTCTCTTGTCATCTTTCAATTATAGAACGTTTTTCTTTTGATGGCCTCTTTGGATTCTTGTTTCTGAGGATTTGGCCTCACACAGAGTGTGCAGAACCCTATTTCAAAGCAAACACGCATGACTGACTTTTGAAAGATACACCTTCCATGTTGATAAATGCCCTCTTTTTGATGTTGGCATTGTCATGATAGTGAAACATAGCTGTAAGGAGCCTAGAAATAGAATTTCTTTTCCCTATCTAATCTACAGAAGTTGTTTTTATTTCAACACAATGTTGAAAGAAATGTCTGCAGCTGAAGAAGAGTTGCTAGATGTGACAGAGAATCCCTCCTTACAGAATTGTCTGTTGTGTGATTTCACATGTTGAATGATGCTGCATGGATGCAGGTGTTGTGTGGTTTGCAGGTTTTTTGCCAGTTTTGTTTTTTTAATAAGCAGCAGTGATTTTGAGAAAAGTCTGTGTTTCTTCTTGGAAGCAACTTACTATAAGCATGAGTGTACAAAGATGACACAGGGAATAATTCCTTCTGGTAAGTAACTTAATTTTTTTGCCCAATTAATTTTTGATGATTTGTATAGGTATTTTTCTTTTTAAAGCAGATAGCTGACTAAGGTAAGTGAATGAGAAGGGACTGCTTTGTCATAATTCTAAAATTGCGCTGTTATGATTAATAATGTCAAAGCATTCTGGCTTCTTTTGGTGATAATGTATTTACTTTCACATAACAGAATACTTGGTTATTACTGCATACAGTAGTCCTGAACAGACAGCAGTACAACAATTAACCACTTGGTGTCACCTGAATATTTTGAAAATGATGCTTGGAGAAAGTACAGAAAGCTATTTCAATAAAAGATAAGCTATGTTTTAATATTACTAGATAAATCATGAACCTATAAAGGGATTGAAAAATTGGTTTAAATATATGGAAATTGCATGTCTAGATGTCCATTTGTGAGAAGGGGAGCAGAGCTACGTGTTGATGTTCAGGAAGAGAAATGACTGGGGGGTGGGATCCAGACTAGGAAAATCCTGAATGCCCCTAGAAGAATACCTTCTTCATTTAGTTTGAATCTCATTTCAACACAAATAAGTCTGTGTCTTTAGAAGTTACACAACACCTTAGAGTTGTTTGCAAAATGGTGCTCGGCTGTTAAATGTGGTATCCAGTTAGAAGAACATGTAAGACTTCCTGCTCTTGCCTGTCCTGGCTGACTAGATGTGAGGCAGTTTGGACTGTATAGTTGGGCTAATTAGCACAGATTCTATATTCCACCTCTGGTCCAGAGGCAGTGTTAGTGCAGAGTCAGTCCCAAAATAGGAGGCATTATTTATAATTCAGGTCCTTTGCATCAGTAATGTAGCTTTGTAGCTTATGGAATCAAGCTGGCTCATTCAGATGACTTCAGAGTGTACTTGAAGTTGCATAGATGTGTTGAATTGGAGAACTTCCACCTCCCTTTCTTTAGTAAGAGTAAACATCTGAAGCTTAGAAAAGCAGCACATTCTTGGTTTGGGCTTTTTTAGTTTGTTTTGTTTCCAGTTACTACTGGTGGAATTCCACTGGTTTAAGGAAATACTAGATGTCAGAACCTCTTTCTAGTCCTTAAGATAACACCCTCTGTAGCAAAGGCTGAGTCCTGGGGAGTTTTCTCCCTACTGAGTGTGACTTAAGGGTGATGGAGAGGAATGGAAGAAGTTTTGGTAAAGTTTCCTCAGTTTTGGGGATCTGCCCAGTTTTAAACATGTATTCCACAGTAGGGTATTCTTTGTTCATTCACACATGCTATTCCGTGCGCATCTCACTAAGGTACAATTTAAGTAATCAATTTTTAGGTAGAAGAGAGTATTAAAACTAACAAGGTATTTAAAAGAAATTAGGCTGGTAAATCTCTGAATCAAGGAAAAACATTTGAATAACTAACTGTAGCATCTAAGCTACAGTTTAATTCCAGTTCATCACATAGAATGTATATAGTAAACAGTACTGAAACAGGTGGAGCAAGCATTATATCTCACTACTATGAATTCACTTGTTTTAAGCTTCTTAAATACTGCATACAGTAGCAATTTACAAGTCAAGGATAAACCTTCTATAAACTAGTTGAAGAGTCTCTACTCAGCATATTGGAAGAAATTTATTAGTAGACTGCTGTCTTAGATTTTGGACATTAAACTTGAAGTTCAAGCAAAATGCTTTTATTTTACTGTTTTATTGTAGGTCTTTACTTCAACACTCCCTTGGTTTGCTGTATCAAAATTAACTATGTTGCTGTTGGAACAAGCAACAACCTGGTAGAAGTTGTAATATGTTTAAAAATAATACAGAAATTCTTGGCTTTGTTTAGTAAATACAAATGATAATTGGTGGTGTGTTCTGGGTTTTTTTAGTGATTTTTAGAAAGGCTCGGAATATAGTATAAGATGTTCCTTAATAGTATGAATTTATAAGTCTTAAATATTTATCAAATTACTTATACATAATGGTTTTTATCACAGCCCCCAAGCAAGCATATATAACTTTGCTGTCCCTGAATGCAGCATGGTGGGATAGTAGAGGTGAGTAAACCTCCTGGGAATGTGTTTGGTGCAGGTTTTTACTCCCTCAAAGGCATTGTCTTAACTGCATTGTTTGGGCTGTTCATTAGAGAAGTTGGTCTCAAGGTTATTTCCCCACATACACACCTCTGAGAAGATTTGCAAAAATATTCTGTCCAAAGACCACCATAGCTATACTGCTGTAGACCTGTTGATGGATCACCCAGGCTGATTGGATTCATGTGGATTGTGCAGCACAAAGGAAGGTTATGGTTTTTACTCCTAAAATGACTGAGACGTATTTCAGTCATTCAGTCATTTCTTAATTACTTCAATTTCCAGCTTGGGTTTAAATTTATGTTGATAAATGGAATAGTTACTATACTAGTGACCTGGAATATTTCTTTGGGTAGTTGGTTTTATTATAGAGACTAATGTCATCTCCTCTGATTTGCAAAAAGTGTTACTTGCAACTACAATTTTATGCTACAGGTTTTTTCAAATATGCTGTTGTCGATGAATTTAGGTGTGGATGTCTGTCACTTCTGAGGCCTCTAATTTTTTTAAAATAAAGATTATCATCTTCTTTGAGTTTTGTGAGATTGGTTCTTAAAAGTTTGTAAGACAGTTTGAAAATAGCATTAAGTACATGCTCAGTGTTTACTGCTGGAAACTTCTGAGTCTCCCAGGGTTTGTCCTGAAGATTCAGTTATTTTTCAGTTGCTGCTGCTTACAGACAGGGTATATAAATTTGTAAATCTGGGCCTGTGTAGGAGAATGTGGAGAAAACTAAGAAAGAAATGTTGGACTATCTTTATCCATGAAATAACCTGACTGACTTCAGTAGTTAGTCACTCAAAACAGGACTGAGTTCAGTGACCTTTTCTAGTCCATTGATGGATGACAGTGAACTTCCAACAGTAAAGTTGGGTTTTGTTTATGTAGTGTACGTGTGGCAGAACTTAGTACTTAGTTAATAGTGCATTTGGATCTAAAGTGTTAAATATGCATTATGAAAGACTGCTGCTATATGTATGATGTATTAAGCTGTTTTATAACTTGTAACAGTAGTCTAATATGAACATTCAAGTTGTTGCCTTTAATATTTTTTGTTCAGTGGAGGTGAAGCAAAGGGTCATTAGTGTAAAGTTTGGTTCAAAGTAGGTAGAGGCTGAGAAAATACTTCAGTACTGAAGAATGTTTTTTAAAAGCGTAAGGCTTTTAGGAAATAAACCCCGAGATTTAAGTTTTGGTTTTTTTTTTTTTTTACTAGGTCCTCTCTGATATTGCTTGAAGTCTTGACTAAATTTCTTAATGATTTGAGTTAGCATTAGGGGTGCAGAGTAAAGGGAAAGAAAGCAGCATTGGCATAAGACTGACTTCTTTTACTACAACATTATCTTAATTTCCTTAATAGTTAAGTCCATCTTGGAATAGATAATGCAGTATGCTTGCTGAAATCAAAAGTCTCTTTCCTCTCCCATTCCCCCTCTTTTTTGCAGCCAGCTGTATGCCCTACTTGGCTTGAATTGCTCTGAAGAAGAAAACCTTGGAATTTATTGCTTTGGATCTTGCCACAAAAGAAAAAAAAAGACCACCATATGGATACATAATTACTGGAAATTCACATTACATGTTTATTGATGAGTAATTCTTCAAAGCACATGTGTGTATTAAACATTTCACTTTAAAAATTAGTGAAATTGAATGTGAAATCGTTTTGGTTAGCTTGATTAGATTTGTTTTGAAAAGATAATTTGTTTAAAAGTTTTATTACTTGTAATAGTTTATACAACAGTAACTTACCTTTAGTGTTGAAATAATTTGCTACAATTCCTACTCTTGCATTTTGAGTTTCAAGCAGAATTTGTATAGTTTCTGTCTTAAGAAACATTAAAAGAAAGAGAAAAACACCACACCGCCCTGGCAACCCTGCCTTTTCATACATAAAGATACATAATATGAAACTTAAATACCACACTCAGATTTGTTTCTGGAACTTGATGATGCAAAATTTTATAGGAAGAACATGTCCAGTAAAATCTTTGCTGCTAGTATAGCACTACATCAGTGCAGGAATGGTATTTTGCAAGGCTTTACGTCAACGTACCATCAGGCTACACAAGATACTGCTGCAGTCCTAACACTGAGGTTCAATACCTCAGATAATTCTTTGAGACAAAAATGGGAAAAGAAAATCTTGACACATACAAACTACATGTACTTTACCTACAGCTTGCTAAGTTGCATTTCCTGTTAGCACCTCTGTGCTGGGACACACAGGTACTTCTGTGTGCAGAGGCCTTACTCCTATCCAGGCTATCCCTTATAACCAGCACTTCTACTTGCCCATGTTGAGCAGCAGCTTGTTCACTTTCTAATCAGGCCATGTTCTTCTTAAAATACACTGTTTAGCATTAAACTGAAAATAGTTTTAAATTTTTAAAATTGGGTGTGTGTAATTCATTTTGAGTGAGCCATTGTTATTTTTACTGTATTTAGCATTTCTCAGTAAAGTGCTTTATTTATTGAATGAAAAAAAAAATAAAGGCTTTTTTTTGGTTTTAAAATCTGAAACTAATACAGTAGATCATCCTACTTTTTGAATTTGGTAAATAGTTGCAGTTCCTGGTCAAGGAATGGGCCAAGTGGTATATTAAAGAGTCTGAGGGCCTCATCTATGCAAGTATTGGTTGTAAGCTGTTTTGTCTGAAAAATGTTTGTCAAAAAGGATTATTATGTAGACAGAAAATGATGCAATGGAAGATTTAAAGTTGAATAATTTTTCTTTAAAGCAGTCAACTATTGTGGTCCATTACATCTTATAGTTCAGTGTGTTTCATTACTATATTAAATAGTCTTTTTTAGTGTTAATTTAGGTGTTGTTACAACAGTTTATTTCCATTTGATATTAGCTACATTGTTCTGAGTGTTGTAACTTTTGATGTTGAAATCATGTGTTTGACTTCTGTACTTGAATTAACATTTACATTAAATTTATGCTGTTAGTATTTGGTGTGTGTTTAAAAAAAAAAATTATTTTACACATGGTACCTTCACAAACTTATTTGCAGGATTCACTTAGCTTTCTCTAGTAGCAGGCTTTGGCTAGAGGCTCCAGTGCAGGTGCTTTGCTGAACAAGAGGATGGATAGTTAAGTGGCTTAGTGAAACCTTGAAAAAACAAAAGTAATCTTTAAAAAGCAAGTTTGCTTAGTAGCTTCAATCACATTTGAAAGTTAAGCTGTTACAATTTCCTAAGAAACTCTGTTGGGGAAAAAAGAAGAGGGGGCTTGCTTTACTTCATGTTTAACAAAGTGATCCCTGAGGTCAAGACAAAAATCAGTGTTTGAGACAGAATTTTACAGTATAATTCTGATAAGAAATGGGGGAACTAATTTAGAAGCATCTGCTTGGCAGCCTGAGAATTCTAGTTGACAGAGTGCTGAAATGAACTCTCTTTTTTGAGTAAGACTTGCTTTTTTATTGCAAGGGTTTTTTTATATAAACATCTTTAATGACACCTTGAAAATATGTTGGACTTTTTGCATGTGCAAGAAAGGTTTGATTAAAACAATATTCTTCAGTACTTCTAATGGAATTCCAGGCCAACCAAACCTAGGTAGATCTGGTATTGTTAGATACTTGAGGAAACTGATGAGCTGCGGAAAAGAGTGCATAGTATTAAAATGAATACCCGTAGGAGAGCTGATTTACCCGGTGAACAAGGAGGTACTGATCAGTACTGTAGAAAGCCATGGGATTGTATTTTTCAGGTGTGTAACCTCCTTCTTGTTCAGATTTCTAACTGCGCTCCCACATTTGAAGCAGTCTTGTGCAAAAAGCAGTTTTGCTATGAAGTGGCAACTCCCATTATTAACATTAGCATGTACCTTGGCAATTATTTTCAGTACTCCCAAGTGTGAGTGTACAAAACCTTGATCAAGCGTTTGAGTGTAATGAGTACTGGGTCAAATACAACCCTCAGACAGAGAGTTTTGTCTTTGTTCTTACCTGTAAAACAAAGATGGAAGGAATAAGCAGCTGAAGCAGCAGTAGCTGTAATTCAGGGTTTTTGAAGTTTATTTACAACACATCATTAAAAATCTCTAATCAGAGTGCAAAATTGCAAGCATATTTTTCATATTTTTAAAGGTCTCACTGGAGCTTATTAACCTTTGGAAAAACCCTCCCGTGTATTTCTTCTAAAAATGTTGTGACAAAAAGATAACATGGTGTTGCATATTTTTTTTACAGTACTGTTGTATAACTGGTAAAAGTGAATCCATATACCATCCTCTTCTATAATTGGTGTAGAAAGTAGAAGTCCCTCTCCAAAGTAGAGGTCACTGCATTAAAACTTGCCCTAAAAAAGTAAAGGTAATCTTTGTTCTTAGCCACCTTTTTCATCTGCTTGCTTGCCTCTTTTTTTTTTTTTTTTTTCCTTCTTTTAATATTACAACCTTGTGGTAGGTGGTCACTGATGGTAAAGCCAATGTTCTGGAACAAGCATCTTGTGGGCAGCAGCCTGTCTTCCAACGCCTGTTTTTTCATGAGGAAAAAAACCACAGTAGATGGTATAGGGAGAACTAAGGCTGTTTGTCACCAAGAGCTAGGGTCCTGTATAATAACACAAGAGTTACTAAATTAATGGGAATTTCTTGTAAATAGGAAGCAGTATTAAAAAGCAAGTCAGCTGGGACACACACTCAAAAGCAATCCCCAGGAAGTCAGCTGTCTTCTCTTTCAGTGAATGTCTTAACACAGTTGCTGTGCATAACAAAGAATGACCAGTTTAGCCATCTCTTCACAGTATTTAGTGTTCAATTTAATGGACAACCAGAGGTAGGAAACAGGTTATGATCCAGCAGTCTTAAATAAATATAACTTTCCTGCATCTAGAAAGAGCCCTAATAAGCCCCAAAACATCCAAGAAATGTTTGAAAGCAGTCATTCTGAGCTCTGTCCTTGACCCCTCATAGCTTTTCACCATGCTAACAAAGCTGCTGCGAGCTGCCATGGCTTGAAATAGTTGTTCCACATTGTCTGTGGCTGAACTATTCAGCTTCAAAGAGTTGGAAGGAGTAGAAAGGCTTGCCCTCCTCAGTAGCTGCATCAGTAATAAAGTAACGACTGGGATGAGGGCAGGCCTTTTCCAAAGGTACAGACACTG